ACCTCTAGTGCTGTGCAACTTCGGAAAACCTCGGTCTCCGTCGGGACTAGCCGAGGCCCAAGCCGCGCGCGCACCGCGAAAACCAACAGGCAATTGGAAGAGTGCCCTCACCTAATAACGTGCCCTACCTTATCGACAATGGGCATCAAGTCAACATCAGTCGGTCNGTCTCCGTCGGGACTAGCCGAGGCCCAAGCCGCACGCGCACCACCAAAACCAATAGGCAGTTGGAAGAGTGCCCTCACCTAATAACGTGCCCTACCTTATCGACAGTGGGCATCAAGTCAACATCAGTCGGTATCTACCTACTATCGATAAGTTACCTCACCCAGAGCAGAGACGACCACCATGTCAGACGCGGAGTTAGGAGATAATCAACGTATGCATGAACGCACTGAGGAGATAATCAAGCGAAATTGAGCCAATTATCCAGATAACTGAGCATCCATCTCAAGCGCACTTCAGTGAAGAAATTACACCGCCGTTTCCTGACGCGACTCCCATTCACCAACAAGACAATAAACACACTGTAGCCGAGATAAGAACTGCAATAGGCGAACTCAGAGACTCAGAAGTTCCAAACAAATAAACTGGACTTCAAGGTAATTCACTCAATGATATTTATCAAGAATTGTTGCAGTCAGCCGAGAACATTAGCGGTCTCACAGTCGAGGAGTTGGACGGCCAGGAGAAAATTATCAAAGGAGAATGGAATGAATTTCTCATCATCCAACACAAAACTCAGCGAGAACCTCCTGCCAACTCATCAACATATTATTCAGAGCACTTTAGCGGTAACCCTACGCAGTCTACTCCCATCCTGGACTCTACTCAACAGACGAGCATCAAACGGAATGTGTCTGACATGGGAGCGACCGGGGAATTATCTACAGTTCAAAATTCCAAATGCAGCAGATCGACTGCAAGGTCAATAACTTGGACGAGATTCATCAAGAACTGTTGCTATCAGCAGAGAATATCAATAGCCTTACCATCGAAGAATNTTCCCAAGTGCACTAAAGGAATCCATGAACGAGCAGTCAATAGAGCTTCACCCAAGAGCTAGGACCAGGACCAATCAACTCAAGTAACAGAGCGATCACCAGATGAACTCAAGTGTGAGATACACAGAAAGTCCAGACACACCAGAGACGAAACTGGGCGCTACATCGTCAGATTCCCTCTACGGACCTCACCAACAGCGCTCGGAGAGTCTAAATTCAAGGCCTCACGTCAACTCCAGTCAGTTGCACGTCGTTCCCAGACAGACGAATCATATTCCCAGCTCTACAGGGAATTCATCAACGAGTATGAGGCACTGGGACACATGCGCAAAGTACCAGAAGGAGCAGAACCCGTCACAGCATAGTATCCACCGCATCAGGGGTCTGAGAGACAAGCAATCAGCGCGGAATTGAGGGTCACCAGTAATAACCTCAGTTCGACTCATCATAGAACAAAAACGACAGTCATCAATAGTACTCCAAAGCAGAGATATCCTACAGAGAAAGGTCGTTATCGGCTCACTCAGGTACAGCAGAGCCCGTGCCTGAGAGCCACTCAATAAATACTCAATAATAGCTGAGATTTGCTAACGAAACGAAATCCCGAACCAAGCAATCGGCAAGCTCAAGAGAACATCAACAAGCGGACATCACCACAGATTGAGAGAATTTACACTCTCAAGCCTTCAGAGAACATCGAGAGAGCATCAGCGCAGCAAGTCTTCAACTCAAAACCTGGGATTGCAGGGAGCAACTGGATTCAGAGGTACATCAACACCACCAGAGGAAATCATCAAAGAATTGATCATCCAGTTCGAGGAGCCTATCACCAAAGTGCTCGGATTGTATTGGCATCAATCGTCCGATACATTTCGATTTAAATCAAAGCAGTTTGAGTCAGCGACAGTCACCAAGAGAGTAGTAGCATCAAAAATTGCTCAACTGTTTGATCCATTGGGATTCATCGCTCCAATAATCACCCGAGGCAAGATAATTATTCAAGATCTATGGAGACCTAAGCTCACTTGGGACGAGCTACTTCCAGACGAGTATGAAAACCAGTGGACGAGCTTCAGAGAAAACCTCCACAAGTTAGAGCAAGTCTCAGTGCCAAGGCAGCTGAGACTCTCATCGGAGATATGCAGCATCCAGATCCACGGGTTTGCAGATGCTTCAACAGCAGCAATGGGCGCAATGGTGTACATTCGCACCAAGCAGATCGACGAGCCAACATCGACAGTATTGTCCTGGCTTGGATCAAGAGCCACCCATCAAGATGGAAGGATTTCGTCCAAAATAGAGTCATCAAAATCCAGGAATCTCTTCCAAACGCTATTATGAGACACATCAGCGGTAAAGAAAACTCAGCTGACTGTGTATCCAGAGAACTCTCACCAAAGGAACTAACAGAACATCAGCTATGGTGGTCAGGTCCTGAATGGATAAGTCAGGAACCTGAAAGCTGGCAGTCATCACCACCCGACACTCAGCAGAAGCATAAATAGAAGCGAGGCCATCTCTATCACATCAGACAACCATCAAAGTCAACGCCTTGGTAGAGCTTCTCAACAGATACTCAAGACTATCCAAGGTCCTCCAAGTAACAGCTACCCTGAACCGAGCCATCGATAGGTTCAGAAGACAGCCAGTTCCTCAAACGCCTGTCCTCATACCTAGAGAACTCAACGAAGCCAGGCTGTTCTGGGTAAAAATAACACAATATCAATATATGCATCTGTTCATAGACTTCTCGAGAGAGACTATCAACTACCACGGAGTCATCCGTTAGCAAAGCTGACTCCAACGCTAGACAATGAGAGCATTATCAGGCTATGTGGCCGCCTCAAGAATTCTCAATTAGCCCGTGACGAAATTCATCCAATTATTCATTCTCATCAGTCTCGTCTCACAACGATTGGTCATCGAAGAAGCTCACCAAAGAGCTCTCCACAGAGGGACTCCACTCATCTTAGCCTATACTCGCCAGAAATATTGGATCATCGGTGGGAGAGGCACAGTGAGAGCATAAATCCTACGCTGTTCTATCTGCATTAGACACCGAAGAAGACAGGCCCAGCACCTAATGGTCCAACTGCCTGCTGTAAGAAGATCACCTGCACGAGCTTTTCTCTACATGGGAGCGGACTATGCTGGTCCCTTCCCCATTCTCAAATGGCGACCCATAAATGCCCAACCATCTATTGTTCATATCACAGTATTTGTGTGTTTCAGTACATCAGCAGTCCATTTAGAGCTCGTTTCCAGGCAAACAACAGAGGCTTTCATCGGAGCTTATAAGAAATTCACCGAGAGGAGAGGTATCCCCGAGCTTATGTACAGTAACAACGCCACTACGTTCGTTAGAGCCTCAGGAATACTCAACAAACTGTACAATCAAGAGTCCAGAGAGAATCAACAGATCCAAGCTGCCCTCGCCACAAATGGGACTCAATGTAACTTCTCACCACCGAGAGCACCACATTTCGGAGGAAAGTGGGAAGCAGCTGTTAAATCTACTAAGTATCACCTCAAAGGAGTACTTGGGCCGTCGACATTCACCTACGAGGAACTCAACAGTATCCTGACCCAGATAGAGGCCTGCTTAAACTCCAAGTCAATCACGCCAACGCACAGCAATTATGGAATACCATCAGGTATTGTAGTTGCACAGATTGTTCACCGAGGGTTTCCCCAACGGCCGTAAGGGAACCTTCAACGAGCAGCTGATCGAGCATCACCAAAAGTTCAGGGACCAGAAAGTATGCAAATTCAATGCAATCAAATGCATACAAAATTCAGAGGCTATCTCCACAGATGATCAATATTAATGTTTGTCTGTGTCAACTGCGAGACACAGGAAAAACCAGAAATCAAGAAAGCATCAGAATTTCCAGAAGCCTCTCCAGCATCCTATCTACCGCAGAACAGGCCCTGGGAGATATCATCAATCCGAGCTGTGAGTCGTATTAAATGACTTCAGCCCTAAATTATCAACAGTACATCAGCAATCAGCCCTAAATTATCACCAGTACACGAACAATCAGGAGAAGAAATCTATCGAACAATCAGGAGAAGAAAACTATCGAGAAGACGATCCAGGGCTAATCAACGAGTAACCAGCAAAGTAAGCAGCGGAGAAATTCAACGCACAATTCATCATCCCGATGATGAATGGCCCCCGGGATGTTTGAAATTCAGCTATTCAAACTAGTCAAACGGTCACCGGGCTCAACGAAAATCTCGAGAAACTTCGGGACCCTTCGGGGTCACATTCAGCTACGAAGAAAATCCCCGAAAAATTCAGTAGTATCGTTCTAGCCACCGAGAGAGTCACTCTAATCGAAAACTGTATCGCCGTAACCGCTCAATTGAGTACATCACCGGAGTACATCAACGCGATACATTTGAGTCTAGCGCTTTGTATAGCGTCTCTATTTAATTCNATCGCTCTAGCCACCGAGAGAGTCACTCTAATCACAGTACTGTATCGCCGTAACCGCTCAATCGAGTACATCACCGGAGTACATCAACGCGATACATTTGAGTCTAGCGCTTTGTATAGCGTCTCTATTTAATTCAATTCAATTATCAATTAATTCCGAGTTAACTATCAATTATTTTGAGTCAATCATCAAGTTCAATATCGAGAGAATCTCAAGTGCAGTGCATTTTTCAAACCATCTTTTTTATTGACTTGTCGAGCACCTCAACAGTGTAACATTTTTAATTTATCAAGACGCGTGGGTTATTCCACAATAAAGTACATCAACAGTGTGGTTTTATAATTCCGCGTGTTTTAATTTTCCACCTCCTTCCACAATTCCACTTTTCCCCAACCGGCATCTCAATTTAGCTTCAATTTCAAACAAACCTTATTCGTAGAACAGAAATAGAACTACAAAAATGGTCTTTATAAAAATGGAGCTATCTCCCTTAGATTCCATGATATTTGAGTAGAAAATAGGGCCCATACCGAGGATTTCTCTCCCCCAAGAATCACCCAGCTCTGCGCCTGCCCCTAACAGCACCTCTCCGCCTCCCTCTTGGAGCAGGCTCCTGAGGATCCTGAGCCAGTTGAGCAGCATTGCGTCGATCGAGACGCACCTGCCTCTGCAGATCAGCAGTCTGTCGACCAAGCTGCTCCACGTGGTGGAGCAAAACATTAGGGTCTGGATGATGATGTGGGGCAGGGTTCTCTTGGTCTCTTGGCTCTGGTGGTGGCGAAGGCTGGCGTCGTGGTGGCGAAGGTGGATGTGGGGGTGGAGATGGTGGTGGACGCTGGCCCAGGAATCTCTGAAAGAGAAAAAATGAATAAAATTTTGTTTCAACACTTTATCTCTGAATCTAAAGGAGATAACGAAATTTTTAGCAGAATCTTTTTTACAGATCTCATTCTGTTCTACAAAAACGGTCTATTCGAAATACAGCCTAAATTGTTGGAATGAGTGGAATGTGTGACCAGAACAGTAGGGATAGTTTATCAGTAACAGGAGAACGAAAGAGAGCACGTCTGTTCAGAAGGATTTATTCGGTGTAACTGATACAGCTTGATGGTCTTGATTGGCGCTTGCCTGACACCTGTGTATGTGTGTGTTTGTACTGGTGTTTGTGTGCTATGTGTGTCAGTGTGGGATCTATCGTCATTATATTCAACATAAATCTCCATATTAGTCCCGGTCGACTCGATCGGCCATCTCCGAAAATCTCCGTGAACTTTCGGGTCAACGGACACAGGTCAGCGCGGCACCCGGAAGAGTCAGTCAGTAGTGTTAAAGTATCGTTACGATAATGAGCTAGCGTATTCACTCAATCAGTATTCTAAATTTAATATCTTTGTTCAGTACATCAACTTGTTGATTAAGTTCAGTATAATATCAGTGACTCAACGAGATAAAGGTGAAAAGACAATTATCAGTGAAAATTAGACATTCAACAGTAAATATACCAAAGAGTGTAAAATTAAGTGACAAGTGGTTCGATCCCACTGAAATATATTGAGATTTTTTATAAACCGCCTAACATAATTTTCCCAACATCTCCCTCCACATTTTCATCCCACATCCACCCTAACCCTAGACATTCACCAAATAGTGGTCCTTCGAGCCAGATTGTGGGTGAAAACTTGTGTAAAGTGCTGTGGAAAATTTAAGGGAAGCCTCGTGTCAAAAAAACTTACGAGGTTCGCACGGGCAAGCCAACGAAAAGTTCTAGAACATTCGCTTTGTTTACACCCGCAAGGGCGTCGGGGTAACAAAGGACAAAGAGAGAGGGTCAGTGTCGGAATTCGGGAAGGCTTGGGAGTGACGAGTGACGCCGAAGCCCAACAACGTTTGGCCACGTGCGCCACGCAACAGGCGACTCACCAAACCTCGGCAGTCGGTAACTTACCAAACTCGGCGGTCGGTAACTCACCCAACTCTCAGCGGTCGCTAACTCACCCAACTCAACAGCCGATAAATCACCTAAAACGCCAACTTAGCACGAACAATCACCATGGCAGACGACACTAAGGTCAACGAACCCAAGGAAGAAACTCAACAACCAGTGAGCGATAGTGAGGAAATCGAGCAAATCACACAAGAAGAGGGACTGCCAGCAAAAAATGAAGCAGTTACAATGAAGCCAATCACCACTCCTGAGGAAATCAACAGTCCAAGTGAATCGTCAGGATCAACGGAGCCCGCTCAACAAAAGTCAACGCCTGCAACTTCAAAAACAGCACTCACCATGCAACAGGAAGGTCAATTAAGACTATTAACGTTTAAGGTAGAGACTCTGATGGAGATCTATCATGACCTCCCGCAGGACGTTGAAACCGAAGAGGACCTCACCCTAGAGGAATTAGACGGGCACAAGTGGATAATCGAGGCAGAAAGGAGCGAATATTTTCAAATTTATGCCAATCTAGCCGAGTTTCTTCCCCCTGATCACGAGTCTGTCAACCAAATGATCCATGAACGAGCCACCAGGACAAGACGACAAGCCCTGATGCTCATTGCTCGGCTGAAGGGTCAACTGGCAAGGAAGGATTCAATTAGCAGCTCAACGGATCAAAGCCAGGCAAATCAGCTGAAGCGTCTTGACATCAAGTCATTCGATGGGAAACCGGAGGAATGGAAGGAGTTCAGTGACCTTTTCTTGTCACTGGTGGGAAATGTCACGTCAATTCCACCAGTATAGAAATTGGTGAGACTTAAGGGATGCCTTAGAAGTCCTGCAGCCTCTCTCCTCTCTACCTTTCAGGCCAAGGACGAAAACGACGAAAAGGCTTGGCAGAAACTCACCAGGAAGTACGAGGACCCTAGACTCGTCGCTCAGTCGCTGTTCAACAGAATCCTGACGCTGCCGAAAATCACCCAAGCAACAGAAGAGAACCTCAGCGCCAACGGAGCAGCAGCATTGGAGACCCTCGATCAACTACAAGACGTGACGGGGTTAATGACGGAAAACATCGCTGAACAGTTGATAGCCCATTTACTGAGGAGATCTCTTGATGCAGAGACACTCAAGCAGTGGGAACTAAAGCTGGAAGACTCAAAGGATTTCCAGAGCCTTAAGGAGTTCGTGGCGTTCATCGAGGCCTGCGGCAGAGGGATCAACGCAGGTGCCAAGCTGCTATCATCAGAAGAAATCAACGCAGCCACGAAGAAGTCAGCTCCAACAAAGAAAAGGAGCACCTATACAGCAGCAACTCACCAGCAGGAAATTAATGAGCCAGAAAGACAACTTCCCAGGAACTGCTGTGCCTACTGACAGGACAAGCATTTTATCGCATCCTGCCAGAAGTTCATTCAGCTCACCCCAGCGAAGAGAAATGACGTCGTTATCAACAAGGGGCTGTGCTTCAACTGCTTGGGGCCACACACGAAGGCCAAGTGCACGTCGGACAAGAAGTGCCACAAATGTAGCAGATATCACCACACTCTCATCCATGAAGGGATTTCATGGACGATGAGCCCGCCTCCAGCCGGATGCACTCCAGCTGAGCCCATCCAAACTACCGGAACATCCAGGCAGCAAGAGGATCACGGGAACAGTGAGTGAATGAATTCAACCTCAATAGCAGACTCACCATCTCATTGATCATTCCTCAACATTAGAATCCAGTACTTCACCACCAGTAGCAGTGAACTTCAACAACAAAATGATCAATGAGAAAGCAGAGAACACCAACCACGAAACTCACCAAGGAGAAGCAGATCAACAGTCAGTGCTGTTGGCAACAGCACGAGTAAAAATAATATCACCGAGAGAATTCACGACAAAAGCCAGAGCACTCATCGACCAGGGTTCAGAGGTATCGTTTATCTCCGAACAATTAGTTAATCAACTGCATTTACAGAGAAGAGCATCAACAGTGGAGCTAGTGGGAATTGGTGGAATTAATTCAGGATACACCAGAGGAATAGTTTCAGTCACTCTACAATCGAACAATGGGACTCATTAACTGCAACTCAACGCCCATATTCTAAAGAATCTCACCGCAATAATTCCGTCATTTTCATGCTCATCAGCGAGGATCGACTCACTTCAGAATCTTCAGATAGCCGATCCCCATTATCTAAGGCCTGGACCAATCGACATCATACTAGGGGCTGACAACTATGGGCGGATCATCATGGATGAAGTTGTCAAGTCAGAGCAATCGAGAGTAGTTGGCCAACGCACAGTATTCGGTTGGATATTATCCGGACCAATCGAATGCACAAATTGTTCAATAAAGGTATCTCTATCGGCTGTACGAGAATCTGCAAATGCACAACTTCTAGAGCTTCTCCAGAAATTTTGGGTCCAGGAAGAACTGCCAAATGAGAGATCATCAACATCAGAGNAAGGTAGCACCACTCAAGCGCATGACCATCCCTCGTCTAGAGCTCACAGCAGCTCTTCTACTGACTCAGCTAGTGGCATCAACGAAGAAAATGCTCCAACTCGACTAAGTAGACACTCATCTCTGGTCTGATTCTTCAGTAGNCAGCACGTCAACTCAAATCGATCGTGAGTCGACTCAACACAGATCAAGCAAACTCCCAGTTGTACAGAGAGTTCATCAACGAGTACGCAGCACTGGGGCGCACGAGAATAGCACCAGAGACACCAGAACCCGTGCCAGCTTACTATCTACCACATCACGGAGTACTGAGAGAGGAGGCCATCACAACGAAGTTGAGAGTCGTATTCAATGACTCCAGCCCCAGTTCATCAGGTATATCAATTAACGATATACTGTACTCTGGTGAAAAATTACAGAACGATGCCATGGTTATCCTGAGTTGGATGAGGAGGCACAGGCTCGTGTTTGGCACGGATATTGTCAGGATGTTCCGCCAGATACGAGTTCACCAAGATGACTGGGATCTTCAGAGAATCCTGTGGATCGACGAGAATCAACAACCAGTCACCTACCAGTTAACGACAGTCACCTATGGAATAAATTGTGCTCCATGGTTGTCGTTACGTGTTCTTCAACAACTAGCAGAAGATGAAGGGCACCGTTTCCCAGGAGCAGTAGAGACACTCACCAGAGGGCGTTACGGTGACGACATTTACGGCAGTGCAGAGACAGAAGACGGTCTCAAGGAGATCGCAACGCAACTACAAGGGCTTTGCCATGCAGGAGGCTTCTCTCTACAGAAGTGGAGCAGCAATTGTTCAGAGGCTCTGCATGAGTTAGGCCTATCAACTGAAGAAGAATTTATCCAGTTCGAGAAGTCAGTCACCAAGGTACTTGGATTATGTTGGCATCAATCCACCGACACATTCCGGTACAAATCAAAGGATTTCAATACGTCGACAATCACCAAGGGAGTAGTCTCTTCAGAAATAGCCCAGATTTTTGATCCACTGGGATTTATCACACCAGTTGTCGTCCAGGGAAAGATTATCCTACAAGATCTTTGGAGATTGAAACTAAAATGGGATGATCCTCTTCCAGATGATTATGTTCAACGCTGGAAGACATTCCGAGAGAATCTCAACGACCTAGACAGAGTAACTGTACCTAGATGGCTGAGAATTTCAACAGAGACACTCAACATCCAAATTCATGGATTTGCAGACGCTTCAACGGTAGCGATGAGTGCAGTGGTGTATATTCGCACCAAAACCATTAACGATTCGACATCAACAGTACTGGCATGCGCGAAGACTAAGGTAGCACCACTCAAGCGCATGACCATCCCTCGTCTAGAGCTCACAGCAGCTCTTCTACTGACTCAGCTAGTGGCATCAACGAAGAAAATGCTCCAACTCGACTAAGTAGACACTCATCTCTGGTCTGATTCTTCAGTAGC